CAATGGAATGCTACTCAGCCATAAAAAAAGACAAAATCATCCCATTTGCAACAACATGGATGGACCTTGAGGCTATTATGTTAAGCGAAATAAGCCAGACAAAGACAAACACTGGATGACTTCACTCGTATGTGGTAGATAAACAAATACACGGACAAAGAGAAGAGATTAGTGCTTACCAGAAGGGAAGGGGGCTGGGAGTGGGAATAAGGGATAAAGGAGCACATACATATGGTGACTGACAGACAATAATGTACAACCAAAATTTCACAACGTTATAAACTATTAGGATCTCAATTAAGAAAAAAATTAGATCAGGGGCTGGCCAGTGGCACAGCAGTTAAGTTCACACGTTCCACTTCAGCGACCCAGGGTTTGCTGGTTCGGATCCCAGGTGTGGACAGGGCACCACTTAGCAAGCCATGCTGTGGCAGGCATCCCACATATAAAGTAGAGAAAGATGGGCATGGATGCTAGCTCAGGGCCAGTCTTCCTCAGCAAAAACAGGAGGATTGGCAGCAGATGTTAGCTCAGGGTTAATCTTCCTCAAAAAAAAAAAAAAAATTAGATCAGTAAAAGTAGATTCTGTCTTCTTCCCTATGTCTGCTGAAAACAACCCCAAACTAGGGAAGTTTTAGGGTACACTAAAATTTAGTCTAGAAAAGACAATAACACTACCCATTAAAAAAAAAAGGCAATAAAGAAACAGAGCTTTATATTTCAGGATCTCTACAGGCAGGGTAACTCTAAATGTTTATGAATGAACAACTCAGAAGAGGAAGGGAGAAATAACTTATTACTATATGGTTCAGCACTGAAGCTGTGGCTAAATGTTTCCTCAAAAAATGTCTTACTGGATCTTGAAAAACAAAAAGTCACAAAAGAAAAACCAACACATCTTTATAAAATACCAAAATTCAGCCTTAATAAAAGAAATAACCATAAATGATACTCCACTGAACGTGCGAATTATCCCCCCAAAAGTTACTGTTTAAAAAAAGAAAACATTCTATGACAATTTCTATTTAAGTCCCAGGAAAGGAAAACACAACAATGATGTTAATTAAGTAAGCAAAACAATAAAACTTTCCTAAAGATACAAGCCAGATTCCACCATTCCTCAAGGCTTGGGTCCCTCAGTGATTTATGACCAAATACTACAGGATCTCAAGTGCACAAGTAAAGCATTTGATGTTCTTCTCTTTGGACATGAAATGTTCACCTCAAAATTTTCCGTGTACTTTTCAATTGAATTCATGTTTTAATATTACAAAACTTTTATTTCTGTTGGATAAAAACATTCACTACAAGAAAAGTAATTTGGCCAGTAGTACATAGTCATTTTCTCTAGCTCTGCAGATTTCCATAAATGTACTGCCTTAGTTACTTTCCTATTTGGTTTCCTCATATCCCAAAGGCATTATATATTGTGGTTAATTAAAAAGAAGGTAATGCACGCACATAGGCTGCTGATTGTCAAATGTACTTTTTGGACCAAAGAAAGAACTAACACTGACAAAATGAGCAGGAGAAAGAAATTTAAATAGGCAGGGGAAAACAAAAAAGTCCACCACAACTTCTGGTTCCTGAATAAATGGTCCCCAAGCACTCTACAAATTATGGTAAGTAGAAGTAACATGGCAACATATACTGAATTCTCACTGTAAAAATTTGATACTAAGCTCTATTAACCTTTCAAATTAGATTATTTGGCTACCTTCAACACAGTTGTTCTAAACTCTGGATGAATAATGGAATCACCAGCTTTAAAGAATACTGATACCCAGGTCCCATCCCCACAGATTCTTATTTAATTGGTCTGAGGTATGTCTTGAATGTGAAAATTTTTAAAGCTCCACAAGTGATTATTATGTGCAGCCATAATTGAGAACCACTAAATGACATAAATCAAAGACAGTAATTTAGCTGCTTTGGAGTACATGAATAGACACACACACATACACACACAGACACAGACACACACACAGACACAGACACACACACACCCAGAGTTCAAAAAGCTTGGTCATTCTTCTTGGAGGAAGCAACCTCTTGGTATCCTAGTTAATTCTCTCACAAGCTTATACAATGTTAGCAATGTGAAAATAACTTTGACTTTGTTGCTTACCGGTATTCTATAAATTGGAAACTTGATTTAGTGGAGTATTTCATAACTAACACTCACCTGGAAGCTGACAGAAGTACTAACCAAGAATGCAGTCTCACAAAAATATTTCCTGTAGGATCTGGGCAATATATTTTACTACCAGCCTAGGTTCTACTATCATTTACGTCTTTCTTTACAACTTTTCTTAATTTAAGAATAAATTTGCATTCAAAGAATTTTGCAGATTAAAGTGTATTTTCAATGATTTTCACAGTGACCACTTTTTTTACAACTTTATAACTAATATACAATAAACTGCATAAAGTATACAATGTTGTAAGTTTTGAGATATATATATACATATACCCATGAAACCGTTGCCACAATTAAGATAACAAACATTTTTATCATTCTTATAAGTTTTCACACACCCCTCTGTTATCTAACCCATCCCTCCCTCTACTCTTATCCCTAGGCATCTGCTGTCATTATAGATTACTTTGAATTTTCTAGGATTTTATACAAGTGGAATCATACATTATGATAAAAAAAAGTTTTTATCTGGCTTATTTCACTCAGTAAATGATTCGGAGATTCAACCATTTTGTTGTGTGTTTCAAAAGTTCTTTCCTTCTTATTGCTGAATGATATTCCTATCAATGCTCTTGATTACCATATTGTATAACCAACATGTTTTCTTGGCATAGAACATTGTGAAAATCTAACAAAAGCTCCTAAATGTTGATATCAATGGTTTTTGGAAAAAATAAGTCTGGTGATACCTATTTTAGCTTTCACTTTATCACTTATTAGTTACGACTGAAGCAAGTCACTCACCTGTCTCAGAAACCTTCTCTAGAAAATGGGGATATACCACCTCACCTATGTAATTCACCTTAGATAAGTGCGTAAGGACTCTCTGACTTCTAAGACCTATCAATTCTACTGAAACAGGTAAATCTTCTAGAAAGACAACAATGCCCATTTGTTTACATACTGTCTGTGGTTGCTTTTGAGCTACAACAAGAAAGTTGAGTACTTGTGACAGAAAGTGTATGGCTGTCAAGCCTAAAATATCTGGCCTCTCAAAAAAAAGTTTATCAACCTGTTCTGAGTGAACACAAAATGTTCTTGGAGCAAGCAAACAGATCATTTGTAGTGATGTTTAGATTTACTGATTGACAAAAATGATTCCACTGCCAAAAAAAAATTACTTTTGCCACTTTGGCAAATAAGATCAAAGAAAAATCATAGAGATTTAAAAACCCCTGTGGCAGCAATAAATTCAATGGTACATAAGTTACTAAAATCAAAAGGACACATTATAAACTCCATTTCAAGAAATAGTAGGACTATATCAAGTTAAAGAAATACAATAATAGCTTTCTAGGAAAGTCTTGAAATAGATATGTATGTTTTCATATTCCTGCCCAAGTGATAAACACTTAAAGACAAAATGAAATAATCACTACTGCCAGAATAAAAAATGAACAGCCTGTACAAATGGCCGGTGAAACTTAGATATACAAGTGTACTTACCACATCTTTCTAGTCTGTCAGACTTCTGGTCTGGGAACAATCGAAGCGGAAGGCCGTATAACACAACGGTTAAGAAAATGGCCCTTAGGGTCAGACAAACCAACGCCAATAAAGGGCACTGGCACTATTGTACAATAACTGAATAAAAAATCCTCCAAATGTATTCTGAAAAAGTTATTTTTTTAAAAGAAATTATCTTTTAAATTAAAATTAAAATCATTACAGAACTACAAAACTGAAAAATCCTAAGCAACTCAAGAAGGGAATATGTGAGGGAAACTGCCAGCTAAAAAACTGCTTTCAGGGGCTGGCCCCGTGGCCGAGTGGTTAAGTTCGCGCGCTCCGCTGCAGGCGGCCCAGTGTTTCGTTGGTTCGAATCCTGGGCGCGGACATGGCACTGCTCGTCAGACCACGCTGAGGCAGCGTCCCACATGCCACAACTAGAGGAACCCACAACGAAGAATACACAACTATGTACCGGGGGGCTTTGGAGAGAAAAAGGAAAAAATAAAATCTTTAAAAAAAAAAAAAACTGCTTTCAGCATTAGAAGAAAAAAAAATCTCTATTATAGGATGTAATAGAAGCACTTATTTGATTATTCATCTGAAAATAAATCTGGTTAGCTAATTCAGTAGTCTGGGTTTTCTCTTCCTAATTACAAGTTGGTGCTTTTTTCCCCCAAAAGACATACGCCAGGTTATTAAAAGTCTGATCTGGCAGTCATCTGAAGCACATACTGAATGACTTCAAGAAAAACCATGTAGATGCTAACATAGTCTGCTATAATAGTGGAAACTGCAAGGAAAAGCAGTAGTGTTTTGTAAATAATCAAGATCAAATTAAAAATTATTTGTGGGCTCAAGAACAGAGAGCACAGTAGGGTCTTTAGGAACAATGCATTACTGTAATTAAGATACACCGCCTCCTATACCTTACTGCCTATAAGGATGACTGGGTGAGACAGTTTTGTTCTGTGTTGTTTAATCTCAATTCCTGGTCTTTATTTAGCCTATCTAAATCACTGCCTTGGGGATTCTGACCAAATGCCAAGAATTTGGAGATCCATCCAAAATAGAGTAGTGGCCAACTTTTCTGTGCAATTACCTTATTGATCCATTTTGTTCTTCTGAGCTAGCTGCCAGGACCCTGAGGCTGGTTTCCAGACTGTTCACAATTGGGAGCATCTAAATATTCAGAAGATTCCATCTCTGCAAAGGGATTCTAGGAAACAGGGTCTTTTCCTATTCTTCTTCTTATCTTTGCAAAGTAAGTGCTACATAAAACCAATCTGAATGTATGGCTAACATGTAATGGAAAATATAGTTTACAGAGGGAAATTGAAGTTGAACTCACCTGTCCACTTTTCCCTATTTCCAGCTCCATTATGGCAACAGGGGTATGTATTTCAGCTGAGTGCCTTGACTGTGATTTGCCATCAACTCTCCAGCTCAGGCCCCGAAGCCCACTGTCCCAGCGGCTCTGGTTCATGAGGCTCTCTCGGATTTTTGTCTTATGGCTCTTCCAGAATTTGGAAATGACAGCAGCTTGGTCAGATGTGATCCCACCTTGCTTTTTGGTTTGAGCAGTCAAGAATGCCTCCAGCTGGTTGAAATCCATGTCTGCAGATGCAATAGACTATAATGACAGAAAAAGTAATAAATTTGAATTTGGTAGATAACTAGAAAAAGATAGCTTCTTAACTTCTCAACGGATCATATTTTGAGTGATTTTTAATCACTGAATAAGCTTTTAAAAAGGGTCAGCAAGTGACAGCAATGAGAATAAGCTCTTCATAAGTACAAAAACATTCCCTTTGCAAATACTGAATATCAGAAAAGCTACTGTTAAAATTCCATGTCACTCAATTCTCTATCAATAACTAGAATCTAATTTTTAAATACCCAGTTCCACGGTGGCGAAATAATAAATAAAATAAAAACATAAAAATAAACTAATAAAACAGGGGAATAAAATTAATTAGTTCTCTGATGAAATCTCAAATAATTTCACAATGTCAGGCTTGGCTGGATATACTACAACTGTACAATGCCTTGTGTGTAAGAAGCACTAAGTAAATTTTGTTTAATAAATGTGTTATTTTAGCTTTGTAGCCCATCTTCAGTCAAACAGCTCATTCACAATAACATTACTCTGAAACTGTATATTACTTTATGCTTTTCCATACATTTTCAAAATTTAATTGCCATTGCTGTTCTGAGAATAGTAAGCAGCTAAACTGAAGTAAGAAATCATTCAGCCCAGAGGGCTGGGGCAATGGAGCCTTGGAGAAGACAGTGACGGGTAATGATCTGGTCTCAGGACAAGCTGTCCCTTGCTTCTTCTTTGGTATATCCTTATCCTCTCCTGGCCATGTGGGTTTGCCCGAGCTTCAAATCAGACAAATCATAGTCCCCTCCTTTCTTAGAGCACACTGATTGATCCAAATAATTCTCCCTATTTAGAGCAGGAGGAGAAATGGTCTTGCCTCTTGGGGTCATGGTACTGGAAGGATATGAGGCTGGGATTGCAGACAGCCTCTTTGATCTTTTGGCGAAGTTCTGACTACAATAAAACAGAATGATGCCAAGCAGAGATGAGAGTGGGTTCTAATGGAGAGATATCCCTGTTCTATAATCCCCAAGGCCCTGGTTCCTACAGCCCTTCCTTCAATTCTGTATGTTACCTCAGCATCCTTTCCACCTACAGGCACCAAAAAATTCCATTTATTGTCCAAGATAGCTTAAGCCGTCTTCCTATCATTTGAAACCAAGAATCCTGACTAAACTTGGGTACTAGCAGAGAGAACAGAGGAATGTACAGGTAGACAGTGTACAGGTAGAGTATAAGCAGAGGAGGTGGGACTTCTACAAACACACTGCCTTTTATTCCTCTGCTAATTTAAAAAATTGTACAGTAAACATTACAACTTTATAACAAATAAATATTACAACACAGATTAAAGATATTTCACATTACAATTCAATAAACACTTATTGAACACCTGCCTATTTACCAGGTATAAAGACCCAAAGTCTCTGGCTATGCCACTCAATAGAAGCATTAATTTGTATAATATACTATAACTAAGTCAAATTATTTCCACTGGCACTTTGCTTCACACTATCACACCACAACTCAGGTGATTTGTATCATTCTTTCCTTAAATCATATCAAGATATCCATTCTGATATAACTTCACTTGTGACAGAAGTTATTTTGGTTGGGTTCCAGTCAATAATATCTTGAACTGGGGTCAATTCATCCAAATTTAGAATAAGCAGAGATTAAATGAGGAATTGATTTTGGTTTGAGTTCAAAGTCCTCAATTTTCATTTAATTGAGGAAATATTTGAATAGCTGCCATGGAACATACCTGTTCAAGGCGTGCCACCTTCATCTACGAGTAATCTAAGCTGGCAGCCTGGTACTTACTTATCTTCAATTCTTCCCTTTCCTCCACAACTTAAATGAGTGGTTCTCAACACTGGCTGTATATTGGAACCATGAGATACATTTAAAAATATCAGTGCCCAGACTCCATACCAGGAATTTTTTTTTTTCTGAGGAAGATTAGCCCTGAGGTAACATCTGCCAATCCTCCTCTTTTTTCTGTGGAAGACTGGCCCTGAGCTAACATCTGGGCCCATCTTCCTCTACTGTGTATGTGGGATGCCTACCACAGCATGGCTTGCCAAGTGGTGCCACATCGGCACCAGGGATCCGAACCAGTGAACCCCGGGCCGCAGAAGCAGAACATGTGCACTTAACCACTGCACCACCAGTCCAGCCCTTAACCACTGCACCACCAGTCCAGTCTGCACCACCAACCAGAAATTCTGATTTCTACAAATTCTAGAGTGGGGCCCAGGCATTAGTATTGTTTGAATGCTTCCTAAATGATTCTAATGGGCAACAAAGGTTAAGATCTAATGCCTATAACCTTTCAATCATCAAGTTCTACTTATTTTTATATCTGAAATAATTCTCTAATAATATGTCCCCTCTGCTCTGTCCCCATTACCTGGTAGAGGCCCTCACTATCTGTACCTAAACTAGGCTTGTACCTCCTCAAATCTCTGATCCTGTCACTTCTCCATGTAAAGCTATCCAATATCTGGCTATTACCTGCTGCAGTGGCTATCAGTCAGGATGTGGGGAAACCTTTTACTATGAGGTATGAGATAAATTACAAGTAACATTATTATTGGTAGTAAAAGTACTTAAGTTTGTAAAGATTTATTTTTATATGTATATATTGGGGGGTTTTCAAGGTTATCTTTATAGTAACAATTTCCTCCCTTATTTTGCTTCCTTGAACAGAAGAAAAAAAGAGCATTACAAACACAAGAACTCTGTATGGGAATATATCATGCATGTATTACTATCTGTTAAGTGTGCGACAGGGGAATAAAAAATTGAAAACTGGTAAACCAGGATAGTGGTTCTCAACGAGGTAGTATTGCTCCCAAAGGCAGGTGATAAATGTTGGGGGCTGTGCTTGGTTTCAGGATGACTAGAGTTCTCTTGCCATCAAGTGAGTGGGAGCCAAGTATGCTGGGCATGCTACTGCTCAAGAAAACAGGGGTTAGCAAACTCTGTAAAGCTGTTACCATCTCTGTTACATATTCTTCCCTTTTTTTGTCCAACTCTTTAAAAACGTAAAAACCATTCTTAGCTCATGGGCTATACAAAAATAGGCAGTGTGGCCTATGGGATATAGTTTGCCAACCTCTGCTCATAAAATCCCACAGAACAAACTGATCCACATCCCACGTGACTTGGCAATGTCTCATCTAACATTATGTGAAAAAACCTGTTTATAATTACTTGAGCCTAGAAATTAATCTTTTTTCTTTTTACATAAAAAAATATTTTTTGCACAGTTTTAATAAACACCAAATTTTCGAGGAATGCAATTAATATAACTCGTACTTTGGTTTGGTCAGAACTTTACCAACACGTTGAACATTTTGGAAAATCTCATTACCAGTGGCAATACCATTTAAAGTACCTTAACTACCAATACAACACATCTATATATGTCTGCATTTACTGCTGCACATTCACAGTGATTCTACATATAGGTGCTAGTATCTGATTAATCCATTATATGTTCTAATGCAGCAATGCTTGCACACAGACATTTTAAAATATATATTTCAAATTACTTTATTATTTTCCTCATTAACTTCCCTTTATACTATATTTATGTCATCAAATTGATTTGTTAGAAATTAGGCGTGTTAATTTTATTATATGTGAATTATACACGCATCCCATTTAAGGATAACAAAGGGACATTAGAAAATATTTACCATAAAGAGGAGACATTGGGTCTCATAGGTTTGAGAACCACTGAGGATCAAGTCCAAGCTCAACAGAACAGACCCTTCAAGATGTGAGCTGACTTATCTTTCAGTTTTAGTGCCTCATATCTTACTGCTTCCTGCCTCCCACACTTGCTGCTCAAATAGCACTAACCTGTTTGTAATTCCCCTACTAGCAATCCTAATATGCTGCTTCTTTCTGTGTGCCTCTGTTCATGCTATTCTAACTACCTCAAATGTCCTTCCATCACCATCCTCACCAGATTAACTTCTATTCACCATTCAAGACTCAGTTCAAGCATGGCTTCCCCAATATTCCTCCTTCTCTAGTAAGGTGAGGGCCCTTTCTACTCTAAAAATGTCCTAATATCTTCACTGTACTTACCTCAATCTAATGAAATTATCTGTGTACAAGTCTATTTTACCCAAGAGATTCTAATCTTTGAGGGCAGGGTCTACATATCTCTGCAAATACAGCATCTAACACAATTCCTTGAATTCATGTTCTAACAAGTACTCACAACCATATCATAACTTTTTAAACCAAAATAATAAATGCTGCAGATCAACCTTAAGCCTATAATTATTTAAAGTTACCAACTTCTTGCATTACAAAATCGTCTCATGTATATCAAAACCATAAAGTCCTAGATAAGGGTAGAAAATAATACCAGGGTGCTGATTTCTGTCTGCCTAATCTAGCCCCGCAAATCAGCAAGGGGCTCAGAGCCAAAGGAAATTTAGGCTAGGAATCATGGCAAAGGAAGAATTTGAATGAAAGATAAAAATGTAAACCACTGGGGCCTGCCCCGGGGCTGAATGGTTAAGTTCCCGCGCACTCTGCTTCGGAGGCCCAGGGTTTCGCCGGTTGGAGTCCTGAGCATGGACATAGCACCGCTCAACAAGCCATGCTAAGGTGGCATCCCACATGCCACAACCAGAAAGACCTACAACTAAAAATACACAACTATGTACTGGGGGGCTTTGGGGAGAAAAAGGAAAAATAAAAATCTTAAAAATAAAATTAAAAAATGTAAACCACTGTGTTATTAACAAAGCTGTTGCTGCTAGAATATAATCACAGAGCAACCCTATATGGTGTGGCTGGTGATGGGCAGCTTGGGAGAATGGCTGGTCTCCTAGTCAAGAGAGATTAGCAATATGCTAAACATGCACTTGATTGAAATATGATGATCCAGTAACTATTTTTAAATATTAAAACTGTTAGTCCAAAAACAAAAATTTCAAATGAACACAAACAGTGAGGTAGTAGAAAGAGGAAAAGAGAAGTAAAAGGATGCCAAGTTG